ATATGTAGAATACTCAACAATTTACATTTGTATTTGTTAAAGCGATTGTGTTCAAACATTTGTAGAGTCATTCAGTATTTTAGTTTTCCCAGAACGAATTTATACGCTATATTTCAAAACGTAGCGTATGTGCTTTTAATGTCCATATTCCAATAGATCTTTATAAAAGTATGTCCCTATAAGTGTTATTATAGAAATAAAGTACAATTTAGACGTTTTCTAATTACTTATACTTACCCAAGGTGCCTATCAATAATAGCCTATTTGTTACCACAGATCGTATTCTATCTGTGTACTAATTTTCATCCAAATCTGTCTAGTCATTTGAGCGTTAAGGAGCTACAAACATACAAATACACAAACTTTCGCATTTATAATAGTAGTCTAATTATCAATGCTCCTGTTTGCGAGCGTCTTATGTCTTAGATATTATGCCATAACCTATGTTATATGTTTATGCACAATTCACGTTAACTTGTAGCACGTAGGTAAGTGTTTTTAATATGAATAATAATTAAATCGCATTCTAAATTTAAAAAATCTTGAAATTTAATTAGGATTCTCTAGGTAGGTATAAATGGAACCACCACAATTCATAAAAAAGTCAATAAAAATGGTTAACAATTGGGTAAAATAATATACAATATATACAAAAGAATCAAATTAATAAAATCAAAGTCCTACAAAATAGAGCTTATAAAGTTGGTTGACATATTGTGTAATGTAATAAATTATTTATTTAAAATCTAATTAGTTTTCTTTGATGTTACTACAAATTTTACTAGATGTGGAGTGTCGGCCTTTTTATCTGAGTTTTACCTGAGATACTCAATGTATAAAGAAAAATAAAGTCCATAAGAATTTAATTTTCTTTGAAATAATAAATGTCAGCCAACTTTACGATTACGTCTGAAATGAACAATCTAATGCTTGCGAGTGAGCATTCAATTTAAAAAGAATTATCCCTTGTCAATCAAATATAAGTTAAACAAGAATAAAATATTTTCGAGGTTGCAAAGTTAAGTCGAACCATTTTTTGCTCATCGCCACAATGTACGCTGCATAATTGCTTAAAAGTTGACAATTGGATAGATTTGTTTTGCAAATTATTACTCCCTATTTCAGGATCTTAGATAGCTTTTCTCAGATTTGAATTTCCATAAGTATATATTAATATTATATATAGGCTGTTGTCGAGATACAGTTTTTTTGTTATTTAAAAAAATGTATGTCAAGCTGCGGTACTTAATATTTTTTATACAATACACATACAGACCATGTTATTTTATAGCAAGACAGGCAAAGAAGTTTTAGTTCTTATTATTAAAATAATATAATAATAATAATTTATTTATTGTACTATATATAAAGCGACAATATAAGGGGTTAAAGTAAGTAAAGCAAGTTGTACAAAAAGTGTCAAAAAATAAGTTAAACTACTATCTCCTAAACTAAGCCAGAGCCTGTATTTTAGGTGATAGTCGTTCCGCTTTCACAATTGAATTTACAACTATTTATATGTCATGCGAGTGCTTCAACAATATCAACAACTTATATTATAAATATGCATCATATTTGGATAAAAGAAGAAGACTTTATTTATACATTAAAATATATATATATATATATATATATATATATATATATATATATATACAAGATATTATGACGGAATTGTTAAAAAGAGCTCAGTCTCTTCATACGATAACTTTTGCAACCATTTAGACACTTTTATTTTGACACTAAATTTGGAAGAAGAATATATGAATATTATTTTATTTAATTTATTATATAACATAGTGCTTGCTGCAACAAACTGACGACGAGCTAGGGCAGTATTACATAGAACAGGTTCGGATACAGGTAAACCTTGGCGCCTTCTTAATTTTGTTTCATCGATTGGTGTCGCGCTGTGTCTTCGCAATATACAGCGAAGAATGTACAGCTGTCTAACTGTCAACACTTGGGTCTCAAGATATAGTTGAGCAGTAGAGAAATCTGTTTTCTTAAAGTACATGACTTTTAGAATAGCCCTTTGCGCTCTTTCTAATGCCAGCATGGAAGTTTTATGAGTTCCACCCCAAGCTGGGATGCAGTATATTATTAAAGACTGGCATAAACACTTATACACGAGCTTAGAAGTTTCAGCATCGGTTGAATGTCTCAGTTCCTTAAAAATATATATTAATTTCCTTAGTCTTGAACACAGAGTTTCAATATGTTTTTGCCAGTTCAGCTTAGCGTCAATACGAATACCTAGATAATTAGTATCCGGCACCAATTGCAAGGATGGACAGCAACAGTTTTTTTTGTTTCCTAAGCAAGTGTGAGCTTTAATAAGTCCAGATTCTTGAGGCGGCCCGTAATTGCTAGGCAAAGTAAAGCGGATGAGTTTCGTCTTAGTTAAATTTAGGGTTAATAAATTGTTAGAAAGCCATTCCATTACTTGGCGCAGCGCCTGTTCTGTTCTTAATTTTGCTTCATTCCAGTTTGAGTCATAAACAATGAGAGCAGTGTCATCAGCATATGTAAATATATCACACTTTGGAATTTGCAGTTGGCATAAATCGTTAATATATATTAAGAACAGCGTCGGGCCAAGAATGCTACCTTGAGGTACACCGAAGCGGATTGTTTGGTCGTCACTGATTGTGTTATCAATTTTCACCCGTTGGGTACGATTTGTGAGATAATCGCTAAAGATTTTCAATGCGATTCCTCGAATTCCGACCCTTTCCATCTTTGATATTAATAAAGGGATAGAGACAGTGTCAAAGGCCTTAGTTAAATCGAGAAATATGCCATAACATTTTTGTTTTCGGTCTAGTTTATCGACGATAGATTTAGTAACATCAATGACAGCATCTTCCGTCGATATACCCGCCCTGAACCCATATTGGTTAGTAGCAATAATGTTATATTTTGTGAGATAAGCAACGAGGCTATTATTTAGTATTCTTTCAAGAACTTTAGAAAGAGAGCTTAGAATTGAAATTGGTCGGTAATTCGCAATATCAAATCTATCCCCACTCTTAAAAATTGGTTGTACGACAGCTTTCTTGAAGGAGCTTGGAAAAGTTCCAGTCTCAATGGCACGATTGCAAATGTGTTTAAGAGGAATTGCTAATGACGAACATGATTGCTTTAATATTTTAGCGGGAATATTATCATAACCAGTAGCACAGTCACTGCGCAGGGAGCCAATAATTTGTTCAATGTCATTAACATTCACTGGCAATAAACCAAGGGAATGGCAAGAATATCCAAGTGCCATATCGTTACTTAGATTGGCTTTGGCTTGTTGCGAGACTTGACTTGCTAGTAGTTTTCCTACATTGACAAAATAACTGTTGACCTTATTAATCGATGTTTTAGGCTCAGGTGTTAGTTGAAGAAGTTCAATAGGGGCCCTAGAATGTGGACTACAATTTGCAATTGTCTTAACGACATTCCAAGTAGCCTTACGGCTATATTTGGATTTCTGTAACTCTATTTGGTCATGTGTTCTTTTCAATTTTTTTAGTAGATTATTAAGGAAATTTCGATATCGCTTATAGGCTGTTATGAGTATAGAATTTTCAGGGTTTCTTTTAACACGTTTGTGCATTTTGTCTCGGTTTCGTATGCATCTTACTAATCCTTTGGTCATCCAGGGCTTTATAACTCGAGTTTTGTTGTTTATACGTAAAATTTGAGTATGCTTACCTATAACTGTTTGGATAGTATCAATAAGTAGATCTGCGGCTATATTAGGATTCATTTCTAACAAAATAGGCCTGAAATCCGTCGTTTCTATGTCCTTTTTAATAGCAGGATAATTATATCGTAAGATTGTATTATTGGATCGCTTATCAACAATGCTTTGTTTAGCGTTTAGCAACAAAATTATGGGTAAATGGTCAGTTATGTGAGTATCAAGGACTATGACAGTTGCTGGTTTTTTTGTTTTCAGTAAAATATGATCTAGACAATTTTCAGACCGCGTAGATAGTAGGTGAGCTGGAAGCAAACCCAATGTAGCAGTAAGAGTTAGGTAGTCGTTTGAATGCCGGTCGTGATTATTTTCTTTTATGTCGATATTGATGTCTCCTATTAATATTATATTTTGGAATCTACAAAGTGTATTTGTTAGGCTGCTTAAGTCACTATAGAAAAAGTCTAGGTTCTGATAGGATGGAGAGCGATAAATACAGATTACTGCAATATTATCCACTGTACATACTAAGCAGTTTGCGTCACGATATACTGGTTCGTAGACTTGGCATTGCAATGATGTTTTTGTATAAGTGACTACTCCATCATTTTGGGTATTATTATTTAGTGTGACGTGACAAGTGTAGCCTTGTAATGTAGGTGTAGGACCCGAAACTTTAAGCCAGCATTCTGTCAGGACAATTATATCAAAATCATTTTTAGTTATGGATAACATGGAAATAAATTGGTTAAAATTCTTATTGATACTTCTGATATTTATGTGAATAATTTTTAAATTTTCATGAGGATTAGAAATAAATTCTGAACATCTATCTGGTGGGCATTTATAAGAAGAGGCAAGTGAGATGTTGTCAATGTCATGTATTGTATTGTTAGTAATAGTCATTTTTAAAAGGTGCAAGCGTAAGTAGCCAATTACAGACATAGATGTCTTGAAGGTTGTACAAGGAAAAATCAAAATGCTCACGCAGAACTTCTCGAAATATACTTCGGGTATGGCAATAAGGAAAGAAAAAACCAGAAGAAAAGTTTGTTGTAGAAGTGCAATAAGTGATGTACATTTGATGGTAGTAGCACATATTGTTATAAGTAATAAGAACAGTATAGGCTGTTATATAGGGTGCAGTAATTGCTATTAATGTAGAAAATAGTAAAGTAAGAGTTGCAAAAGTTTTCGCGTTTATAGAACAAAACATCATAAGTAAATTGAGAACTGAATATAAATTATACATATTGAAATTTACAGTAAAATCAAAATCAAACAAGAAGGGAAAACGATATAGTCATTGTTTTTTAACCAATGCAAGTAAACATTTATCGGTTTTTATTTGAGTTGGTTTATCATTTGGATCTTTAGTATCTTTACGTAAGAAAATCCTTCCATTCGAACTCCAACAGTGGAAATTATTAGATTTCGCAAAAGCGCGAGCATCAAAGAAAAGTTTTTTCTTGGATGGCAAGAGATGTTCATCAACATAAATTGGTTTCTTGTCTCCAGCCATGCCAATCGTTTTTGTGTTCAATTTGTCTGCCAAAGGAAGCTGTTTATTGAAGCGCCGAACGTTGGTTAAAAATTCCGTTTTTTTCTTAACAGAAGTAAATTCTGCTACAATTGGTCTGGGTATTCCTGAATTGCCTGGTAGTCGATAAACATCACGTACGTCTTTAGATTGTACTTCAACATTTATAACGTTGCCAACTTCTGATAGAGTGGAAAATAAATCTTCAGTAGTCTCTTTAGGTTTTATGGGAACATTTCTCAGTTCGATGGTAGCTTGGCGGGATTGAAGTTGAAAATCTTGGATAAGCATTTCAAGTTGAGCGACACGGTCTTCACTCTCTTTTCTTCGCATTTCTGTTTCGGTTAGTTTGTTTTTTATTTCCTCATATGATTCGTTCATGAATGTAAGGCTTTGATCTATTTCAGAGTATGATTGTTGAATTTGAGCGCATTGGGTTTTTAGGTCACCCACGTCCCTAACTAGTCCCGCGAACAGCAGATCTTGTTCATTCTTCCATGAAGTGAGCATTTCCATTACTTCTTTTTTGAAATCACAAAGCTGTCGAGAAATTTCGGTTGTTTCTGTATTGGGTGAGTCTTCAAGCCGTTGGCGCTTGCCTCTTAGTGTCACATTTGAACTCAATTTTTCCTCTGTTCTCTTCTGCACTGGGGTACATGAGATGTCCGATTCAGATAGTGACTGTCCCTGCCGTAATGAGGACTTAGTTTTAGAAGTTTTAGGAGGAGTGCGTTGAATGTTCATTTTTATATTATTTTTATTCTTTCAATTATCCAAAGAACTGGCACTATACTAGTGACAATATTTTTTTTATATTAAAAAAAAAAATATCTGGCACAGTGACTTGGATTTGATCATAGAACTTCTCACGTTGTGCACTCTAACGCAGTGTCGTTACCACTGATAGTCCATCATTATGTTAACGTCACAGTGCAAAACAGTAGAACAGTTTTTAATATGTACTCCTTAGATGTAATGACCTTTTCGTTTAACCAATGTCAATACGTATGTTAACAATCACTAACACTGATTCAATTTAATCCAAAAGCAACATATTTTGTGAGTGATTACACATAATAATTACACCACAATGAGTTACACATATTTACACGTACTTAGGACTATTGTTGATTACGCTTATGTAAACTTAAGAATATAACGATATTTTATCCAACATAGACGCGACGTGAAAGTCATGCTCGCACGAACGATCGCGCGGAACTCAATCTAATCTAAATCTTTAATAAAATCTACATCTTTATATTATGATTATTTCATATATTTAAATAATTGTAAAATATTCCCTATACCCATATACTATTTCATACATACATACATACATCAGCATTATTTTTCTGAATCATTGATCTGCGCAGTTCGCATGCGTTTTTCTTAGGTCTTCGGTGCATAGTGCTGGAGGGTATCCTATATAAATACAATTTCTACTCTAGCAGTGAGTCTGGAGATACGGCCGGCCCACTTCCGCTTTTCTTGCTAATTCTGCCGAGATCTCGATAACTTTTGTAGTTCTTTAGAAAATGAATGAATGATTATTCACAAAAATACATATTAGAACTAAGTAAAGAGAATCTCGAGCCGCGAGGGAAGATATGTACCTACAGAAATTTTAGACAAAGGGGTACATAGCGAAAATCATTCCCATTAACAATTCTGCTGGAAAGGAAATAGATTATATCTTCTATGACTTATTGCCTATATTCCTTTATGCCTTCCTAAAAAGAAGATTAGGGTTAACCCCATACTGATTTATCAGGATTATGATAACCCTTTCGATAGGGTTAATTCTATAGGGTTATTGGTAATTCGACGTATTCCCGTTAGGAGGTGATAGGAGTGATATTTGCGATAGTTTTAACTCCCATAATATGCATTATGTAAAAGTGAACTATTTTGGAGCTATTATGTTGTTTAGCTTTTTTCAAAATAAGTCAAAAATGCAACATCAAAAATGTATTAAAAACACAAAACATAAACGTGTCATCCCGTGCGAATTAGATAATCTCCCGCAGTAAAAAGTGGCCTATGTCACTCTCCAGCCCTCCAACTATCTCCACACAAATCACGCCAATCCGTCACTCCGTTTCGACGTGAAAGAAGGACAAACAAACAAACAAACAAACACACTTTCACATTTATAATATTAGTATGGATTACATGACCTTAATCCTGTAATATAAACAAAACAAAAATTATAACTTCATTTGGAATGAAACATATAATAGAAATCTTATCATTATTTTGATTAGATCTGTTTCATCCATCAAATTGTTCACGCATAAAACATAATATGGATAACTTGCCTCGTCTCTATAAATCTCGATTAGTATATTGTGGCAAATAATTTACGGAGAAGGTAACTTAATATTTCACCCTAAGTTTGGGAACACGTGTGATACAGCTATTAATTCACTTGAGTGAAGTATATTTTATATAAAGGATATTTTAGATTATTAGGATCTTAAAATATTTTTTGAGTATCTTCTTAAGAATAGACTATAAGCATGTATGGATTGGCTATATCTACCTATCTACGCCGTAGGTCGTATGTACACGTTCTTTTGTATTATAATTAGGTAATAATTAAATAAAGTATATATATATATAGTTTTATAGTCTCATGGGGGATTAAAAAATATCGCAAAATCCAATCTTAGTACAAAATTTACTTATTTAAACTTGTTAACTTGAATTTAAATTTGTTCTTCGACTTAATGTCATGGATTTCGACAAAATAAGTTAGTACATATATATATATATATATATATATATATATATATATATATATATATATATACTCCCAATTAATTCCTTGATACTTCCATCCATTCCGGAGAAAGAGGATCTTGATAGACTGATAGGCGAAAGGAAAACAAAGTAATCCAATAATGGTTCCCTTTTTTCATTTCAAGTGAGTATAAATTCATCGACTACTACTGGCTACACCAGTTGTTTTATGTCACCCAATTTTTTTTAATTACAAGGTACCTAATTAAAAAAGTATCCAAAAATAATGTTAATATTATTATGTACTACCAAAACATATGGACATATTTCATTACTTACATTTATTAGTTGCAAAGCTGTTATGTGTGTTGGTATTTTTAAATTAAAACTACTTAACTCATTACCATATAAATGGAGAGAAATTAATAGATGAGAAAGAATAAAATTTGGAAATATAAGCATTCATCAATCATTTGAACACGCGAGCGGTTCGGCTAGAAATATATACATATACTTATCACTATTTTTATTTGAAACGGATCTACAATTGCATAACCACCAAATTGTTCAAGCGTAAAAAATATCGATTAGTAAATACTAAAAGTCACTATTTTCAAATTCAAAATTATTTGGTGGTCGAATTCCAAAAAAAATCCTACGTCATTATATGAATTAAGTATTGTGTTAATTAATTAAAAATTAAAATCAATTTTATCACGTTAATAAATCAGTAAGAATAAGCAATTTTATGTAGATAAAGCTTACTTTTTCCGAATATAATTGAGTCCTAACTGAGATTAGCCACCTGCACACCTTAATCTCTGTTAGATTGACCGTAGTAGTCGAATTCGACCAAGAGGACATTATTATTTATTATTAATATAAAAATTTTAAGGATTCATATCATAAATGCAAAGGTCAAAGATGTCGCTTACTCATAATAATTGCTGCCAGTTTGGTTTAAATAAGTTAAGTTTGAGGAAGATGATGAACACCAAATGTTCAAAGAGTAATTTTGAAACAACAATTTATACACATATAATAGAGTTTAATCATTTTGTTTAATTATGACATTAATATAAATTATTATTTAATGACATACATACATGACATCTGTTATAATGACGATATAAAACTGTTTTATTACAATTATATCTGATGGATATCGAAAGGAGGAGGTACTCATTGGTGTTTTATTTTTTTTGTTTGCGTGTATGTTATGTGATGTCTTTGTGAATTGTGGATCGACTATTATAATTTTTGTAATGAAAATTTAAGTTACAGCACCTTAAGTGAGATCGTATTTGCTCCGTGATGTGTGTTCAACTGTTCACCTTGTCGTGGTGGGAGGGGCTCATTCGCATCCGGCAATCTAGCCGGGCGTGAAGCCAAGACACACATTGGGAGGATGCCCATTTCGATGAGCGATGTACCATGCGAGTTGCTCCTGGTACTTCTCTGATAGCAGAACGGACCGAGGGATGAACTCCTTGATTGTGTAGTCTGCTTCGGCAGACCTGCTGTCGTGGCGTTGTGGTTGAGTGCATAAGGGATCCTGCGACACCCCATTAAGATTAAGGGCTTAAAAAAATACCAAATTATAAAAAAAACACACCTCTAAGGTCGATGTAATTAATTTTAATTGCCAGTGTAACTTCCTAGTGAAAAACAATTATTATCTTAGTAAAAATATTTTTTCTTCAAATTGTTCCATAGTGTGGTTAAAATATTCAAATGGGTAAAATCTAATATGTCTCTAGGTTAAGATTAACTACAACATTAGGCGCCTCCATTAAATGCCCATTATCATTTAGTCGACGGAAAGTAGGGAAAGGACAAAGGGGAGTTAAGTAAACTTAAGGTTCCATTACTAAGATTATTACGTTTAAAAATATTCCACGTAAATTTTCTTTAAATTGTTATTATGAAAGTTTACAATTTCAAACTGTTTATGTAAATGTTTGAATTCAGTTCTTATTAAAACCCCTTTGGTAGGCACAGGCCGCCCTTCATCAAGGATCAAGCCATAGCCCACGCATAAATAAATTGCCATGCTGGCAAGTGTGCGGGTTGGCGGACTTCATATTTCTTTTGAAAACTTGCTATGTCCTCTCAGATATGTAGATTGTAGGTTTCCTGGGCATATTTTAGTTCATTGTTACATGTGTGATAATCATGTTGAAAATGATTTGCACATAAAAATATTAGAGATGTGAGACATGGTAATTGAACTTGAGCGTTACCATTCAACTACCATTGCCTTGTAAACATTTAACCTGTGTAACTGTATGAAATGCGGTTTTTAGTATAAATATTCTGTAAATATCGTTTTTATTCAACACACGACATATTCTTTCTTTGTAGATTTATATATATGTGAAAAATCGTAACATTGCAGATGTTTATTTATAATAATATTGTTTCGGAACCCATGTCACCTTAGTACGTCAAGACAGTGTCTAAACGATGTTTTGCCCAAGTTGAAACGTTTGTTACATATTCAATGAAGTAACCGTAGTCCACACTGAATATTGTGTGTGATATTTTCTTTTGGTATTTTAATGAATCCTTGAAGTTACTGCTTCATATTTTCTACTTTATTAGAGGTTACAGGATAACTTCCTCCTTTGTTTAATGTTTGTTATTGATGATGTAATGTTTGTAGAGTCTAAAAATTGCCGGATGGCCACGAGATTATACTCATAAATCTGTCTATTTTTACTGCCATACTTACTAATACTGTAAATGTGAACGTGTTTTTCTTGGCTATTCTTCCTTCACACAAAAACAGAGAACGTATCGACACAGATCACATAATACTAAAGGTATGGATCTAATTTATTACTTAGGCGTACATAGGTCGTAGAGTGCTCTTATCCCAATGCATACGTAGTAAGTCATTCTCGAAGCATATACACATGATGTACATATATAGTATATAATATATATATACAGTATGATGAATTAAGTTTCTTGCAGTCAAAATTACGCGTTGCATA